TCAAGAACGCACGCCCAGTCTGAGATCAGGGCCACACGCTCCGTCATCCAGCATGTTACCAACTGGGCCAACGGAACACCCATTTGGGGGCGGGGCTGTATGGGCAGACTCATTCGGTACCTTTAAAAAAAAAAAATTTAGTAGAGGTTTTACGGCGCTCACAACTGCATAAGGTCATATGAGCGCAAAGGGGTGGATGTCAAAAGAGATAAGTCTATTCAAGGAATCGGGCTTACTCTGCTCACCTGTCTATCTTTAACCTGTACCTCCTAACGGACGTGGTACATACATAGCAAGTCCGACCTACAGCAGAGAAAAATATTATCATTGTGTAGTATTTTTCGATTCATCTCGCTTACACAATTCAGAAAAGTGGGTGGTTGGCGGGCGTTCTGGTGTGGCTTGCTCCATCTTTCTTTTCACAAATCTTTCGTCCTTATCTGTTCTCTCCTCGCCTTTTTTTCTTTTATGTGTCATTCTCTACCAACGCCTCGCTCTAATCTTTGGCACGTAAAGACTTAATTGTGTTGCAAATGCTCTAAAACTGTTGCTAAAACTAAAACGGGAACAAATCAGAAACATGGAATTTACTTACATCATCATAAAATTGCATAGTATGAATGCTGTAGCTTGCTGTAGTAAGTTCCAATTAAAAATAAATAGAGAACTGAACAATCTGCAGAAATTAAAAAGGTCTCCACATGAAAACATCGCGTGTCTCAAGAGGGTTAATCAACAGCCAGAACGCACGTCTTCAAAGAGTTAAGATTATACGATGGCAAAGTCGTCTCGTTGATACAGTAATATTACGTAGAAGGCAGTTTTGTCCCTAACTCTAGCAGTTATTGACAGGGGACAAATGACAATTCGAACAAATGAAAAAAAACTACAACATAATACAGCTATGCGTTTTCTCTATTTTGGCATTTTATTTTACAAGTCAAGTCTTACTGTATAAATTTGGACTTTGACTTTGAGCAATTTGTGAATTTTGTCTTGAGTTATTTCATTAACCCTATCCGTACGCCCTAGAGTCATTTTGTACCCCCGTGGTTGTATTCTTCATATTTGAGAATACTACTAATCTAGTGCGAATATCTCTTCGAAACTTTCAGTATTTCTAAAACAAAAAATCATTTTGACAGACTGCTATACAAAGCGTACGGATCGGATTAACGAGTAATTTTCCTCTTTGGAAATCGGTGGCACAGAGTTCCCCGCGTCGTATGGATACGATCGGAAAACACGACGTACGGATAGGGTAAAAGATTTATCTTCTGCAATTTTAAACAACGTGCCTTTCTGATGGGAGAAACAGCTTGTTCTGAAGAAAGATTTCGATCTGATATAACAATATTTTAAAAAGCTTTTTTAAAAACCATGATGCTTTCAGCCCTGATAGACACGCTCGCAATATTTAATATTCTAATTTCTTTTTGTGTCCCAATTAACATAAATTCAATATTGTCATTGTTTATTTTCAATTCCTCGGAGCGTCTAATGTCGCTTGATAACGACACAAAAGCGCGAAGCTCATGCAACATTGTTGAAAGCATATCACATGAAACTGCTTCATATTACTGAGTGGCAAGTTGTTAATTAATATTGAAAAAAAAACTACTTCATTCAGCTTGCTGATATTATTATGTTGTTGCTATCGCAGATATAACTGGATGACAACATGCTTGCTAGTATTGCATAATACATTTCCTAGTAAAAAAATTATGCGGGTGTTTGTATACTCAGATCGACACTGCTTTGATCATGTGATGAAAGGCGTTCAAGCTTGTCAGCGTCTGATCAATGTCATTGACCTGTCCCAGTCGTTTTAAGCAAGAACATTTCGGATATTTTGAAAACTGAGACCAAACATGTGGAATTATGCGATTCTGTTTTGTTTTTGTTTTTTTAACAAAGAATGATAACTGAAAATAAGCAGAAATTATGCCCAAAAGATGATCAAATTTTGCAACATTATGCGGGGTGCATAAAACCACGGGGACAGATAGACTACGTGTGACATTGGGATTTGAGGACAGCCAAAGACATGCAGTCAGTCAAGGCCATCAGCACAAGATGATTCACACAACTATTATTGACTAGTTCCATTGGTCGTTGAGACTTCTGCCACCGCCATGGAGTTCTCACTAATAGTACACGTCTATTTATAGACACAAGGGTTCCAGGCAAGTATGTGTAGTTGTGACGTCTGATTGCATAGTGTAGTTGTTTAACACACTTGGCAACAATGCACAGTTGGGTATCACCTGAGGTATCCCACCTGGCTACATTGCGTAGTTACGTAACCCACACGGCTACATTGAGTAGTTAGGTATCACTCCAGGCTACATTGAGTAGTTAGGCATCACTCCAGGCTACATTGAGTAGTTAGGCATCACTCCAGGCTACATTGAGTAGTTAGGCATCACTCCAGGCTACAT